CACCATACCTTTCAAAAAAGTCTTTTGGAAGGGGCAGAAGATGAGAGGATGGGCTTTCTCCAGGTTTTCTGGAATATTTGATGGCCGTGAAGAACCACTGGGCAGCAAGGGGTACATCCTGTCCAGCTGCTTTGGAGTGTTTGGAGGCTTCAGTCGACTGGGCCTTGGTCCTGGGGGATGGTAGGCCCGTGTCTGGGCCTCAGGATGTTTCCTTGGGCGGCAGCAGCCGTGGTCCAGAACAGCCTGGTGTCAGGCATTAGTGCCCACATGGTGGCCACAGTTGGTCCTGGGGGATGGTAGGCCCGTGTCTGGGCCTCAGGATGTTTCCTTGGGCAGCAGCAGCCGTGGTCCAGAACAGCCTGGTGTCAGGCATTAGTGCCCACATGGTGGCCACAGTCTCTCCTCAATATTGAGGCAGGAGGGCCAGGAAGGCTGCTTGCAGAAGGGCAGGCAGCAGCGTGTTGCCGTCCCACTGGCCTCCTCTTGTAAGAGCGAGGCCCTCACCTGGGTGACCGCAGGTGTGGCTCTTCACATCTCTGGCTTAGGAGAAGGAACAAAATGAGCCTGTCGTAGTTTAGGCTTCCCCAGAAGTGGGCCCTGGGCCAAGGGTTCCGATGCTTGTCATTGGTTTGGGACTTGATCCCGGGAAACAATGGAACAGAATGGGATGTGAGACAGGGAAGGGAAAGATCTGATGAAAGGTCTGAATCAAGCTGGATAATGCAGTGGGCTCAGAGCTCAGCCCCGATGTGGGCTCTGGATGGCAGGAGAGCCCGTTTCAGCTGAGGGCCAAGGGTGCTGGAGTACTTGCCCACCAGGCTTTGCTGGCATCATCGGCTGAGGGCTGCTTCTGGGGACAGTCACTCCTGCACTTGGGGCCAGAGGCTGCGGGCTCTGGATGGCAGGAGAGCCCGTTTCAGCTGAGGGCCAAGGGTGCTGGAGTACTTGCCCACCAGGCTTCGCTGGCATCATCGGCTGAGGGCTGCTTCTGGGGACAGTCACTCCTGCACTTGGGGCCAGAGGAGAGCACCAAAGCAGTCACAGGCATTCACAGTAAGCAGAAGTGGGTGCCAAGGGGACAGCATGGGGCACTGATAGGGTCCTCCTAGAGTGTTCAAGTGACACAGATTGGCACCCAACCCTACCCCACCCACTGCATCTCCAAAGGAGCAAGCCCCCAGAAACCAGAAGTTCCCCGGAATAGGGTTGAGAGTGGGGGAACAGGCCCGGGAGAGCCCAGGACCACGCAGATTCAACTAAGCACGAAAGGGCACCACCTGGATTAGGAGAAGGGGCCTGATGCGGTGGGACCCTCACCACCTTTCTCTCCACACAGGGGAGGACTTTGTAAGATGGGGAAATGCAGAGGTCTCACCGAGTGGAGGTGAATGTATGGAGCAGCGTTTCCAGGGAGGGCCCTTTGCCCACTGGGAAAGGAAGAGGAGGAGCCAGCTGGGGAGCATCCTCTTCTGGAAGCCTCTCCTGGGCTGAAGCCTCCCCAGCTGGCCTGCAGCTCCTCCTGTGTCTACTGGCCACCTCTTGTCTTTGCACACCAGTTGCATCTCAATCAAATGGAAGACCCAGCGACTGAAAATTAGAGCCAGATCATGCTATTTCCATGGAACACCAAGATATAGGTGACAGAAAAATTACCAAAGAACAGGGGTTCTGATGAACTAAGGCTCATCTGTAAAACCTGTCGGTCTTGTGGAGAATGTTGAAAAAACTGTCAATCTTGCCCCCAAATCTCTGGGATCTGTCTTACCGAAGTGCTACCGAGAAAAAAAAAAGATTTAACAAATTGCAGAAGATGCAGTCTCCTGCACAGAAACCTGGTGGTCACCATCCTTGGAGTTTAGCTCCCCAGGGATAATGCCCTCAGGTGGAACGTGCCCCCCTTCCAGCCACAGTGGGGATGGGCACATAGAGAATCAGGCATCAGCAAGGCCTTAGAGGTCACTGTAAATGCACACGCAATGTGAAGACTTCATGTAAACTGTGAAGTGACACAGCCTTGCGCAACTACCACTATCCTCTTTGGTCAGCGTGAACACTGGTGGCGGAATCCCTGGAGGACAAAAGCTTACAGTCCCCGTTAAGCACCTCTGGGGTTGCAGGTGCATGCTGGAGGTGTGCAGGTTGATGGGAAGTGAAGCGTCAGCAGGCGGAAGCTGAAGGCACTCGTAGTGGAAAGCTGGAGTAGGATGTGCTCAGGCTGCCCCTGAGGTCTCTCTGTGGGGTTGGTTTGGGAGCCAGCGGGAGGACTTCTGCCATGTGGGGAGAGTCTACCTCGTCCTTCACGCCTCCTGGAAACCAGATGGTCAGAGATGGGGCTTCAGGCTCTGAAAGAAGATGCAGCAAGGACACAGCAGTGGTCGGGAGAACACACTCTGCGAACCCAGGAGCAACCGAAGGGTAGGGTGTCCTGGCTTGTCTTCTGTTCCTCCAAAGGACATCTTTGGCAAATTCTTTGTGGGATGTCTCATCACCTGGAAGTGGCTCTAGCCTCCAGAATGAATGAAGTGTTGAGCACCACAGCCCTCAGAGCTTTTGTGATCATGATCTGGTTTGATCCTTTTCAATTAGGAAGGCAGAGTAAGAATTACACCACCCTGAGCAACCTGAGCCTCGACACTGTTCTTAACTTTTTTTGGTAAGGAGAAGACATTGGATTAGTGACTGGTGGGAAGAATTCGAGCTGAACCATGAATTTAAGAATCTGAGCTGAAGCCCTCATTGTGGTCACCCTTGGAAGTGGCAGTCACAAGTTATGACTTAATGGGACCCTGTCATCTTTGGAGAACTACAAGTAAACTACCTGGCAGAAAGGAAGACGATGTTATTGTTTTCGGCAAAAGCATGTCTCCTACCCTCACCCCAGAGAATGGAGATCTCACTCACCCGCAGGGTTAAGTGAAATGTAAGCTGAGGGCAGGGACGTGCACTACGTTATGCGGCGTCCAGGAGGACACACAAGGGACATTCTTTCGGGTGCTATTAAACACCAGGCTTCCACAGTGCTCTCTCCTTCATTATAACTCCACTCTAGTAACTGGTAAATGCTCCCGACCAACGTGCTTTACCTTCGAGTGTTAATAAAGGGTCACGGAAACAAAGAGAAAGGAGCAGCTCCCCAAATGTTATGATGTAAAAATGGCACTACTAAAAGGCATAATAATGTGAAACGAGGAAGGGCAAGGAAGACAAGAGCACGGAGGAGATAAATGTAAACCGCGACCGAGAAGAGCGTGTGATAACCGTTTCCTGTTGTTTGTGACAAAACTCGTGCTTGTGTGTCTCCCAATGGAACTGTCCACGGTGACACAAATGCCAACTGTCTAAAAGACATCATAAAGACGGACAATGCTGTTTCTCCAAAAGTTTATTTTAATTTAAATTACAGGGCCAGCCAGATATTCTGATAAGAAATTCACTTTTCCTCAGGAGAAAGGAAATGCTTTCATGGCATTGTTAACAAATGTATACATCCTCACTTTTTTATTTTCAAAGGGTTAAAAATCACATTAAGTAACTGCCTTATGTAAAATGAAACCTTTATAACACAAAAAGAAACCACTTCCAGTATAATAGTTTTGGTAATATGAATATATTAAGTGATCATAACTTCAAATGCATTTCCAACTTTGTTTTCACATTGTTTTGTTTTAAAACAAAGTCTTATCTTCAGATTCCAGTGCGAGAGTAACACATTAATGTTTTCTTTGACACACTGCACCCCTCACTGTCTTCCATACAGAAGGCTCCAGTGCTACCACACAACTGCTGAAGTGAAAGCTGTTTTGTTGTGTAAAGTTCTAAGAACAAGCTTGGCAAGGCGACGCTTCTTCCACTCGGTGTGATGAATGTTTTCGCGAGTAAGGCAGGCTACTGTGTATCAGTGGACACCTGGATGACAGTCCCCTTTTCCCCTCCCCACACATCTGATTATTCCTTCCCCCCTTTACCAAGAATGAAGGAGGTCGTTGGCTGCTGTACGGC